GATTGTGGCCCACGGAGGGTTCTAGCCAGGTCAATATAGTAGGGGGGGGGGGGGGCGGGCATGGGAAAAAGTTACCCCGTGACTCATTTTTCCATTGTCCAAAATTGTCTTGCCATGCAAAATGTAACATACAGGGTGAACCCCGACTTCACCCCTCATAAATGTGCCTTTATGAACCCTCTAGTAGTGACTATCGGCTGTATTTTCATTGAATGGCGTGAAAAAAAACACAAAAATTGAAAAATGAGTAGGGGGCAGCACCTTTTCACAGGGGGGCGCGCAAACGGAGTAGGGGGCGCTGCCCCCCCCTACCCCCCTTTGGCTAGAACCCTGGGCCCACGGAAGCTGAATTATGAAATTAATTATAACAGGCGGAAATTTTGTAGAAAATGCAGAAAGTCCGCAAAATGTTCGGATTTGAGTTCGGAGACAAAAAGGAGTCAGAAAAAAATAAGGATTTTTCGGCTAACAGGCCACCTTTTAGCGCTCTACAGCCGCAAAGGAGGGTTCCCCTAGCACTTATTCAACAACCCCACTCCAGCTCCAAAAACATACTTCTCATGGATTTTTGGTATTTTCTGTACATCGTAGGTAGCCAAGCAAGGCAAATGGAACCCATTCAATGATTCAGGGCCATTGCCCTCGAAAAAATAGCAAAATTCGAAGTACAAGCGTGTTGCGCGGTCTAGCGCCAGCGGCTATGCAAAAACGTATGTCGTGTCCTGCAAAAGTCTGCCGCGTCGCGTACACTATGTACACGTCCGGCCTGGGCAGTCGCGAAGTAATTATTTTAGTTGTTTTCAGAGAGAGAAGAAGATCCTTTGTTGATCGGTGGGATTGAAAGATCTGCCAGTGGACCGGAGAGCTACAACAATGGAAGCAGAAGAAAGCGCTTGCGGAATCTTCTCTGTCTTCGTGGCAACAGGACTTTAGTTTGCGAGAGACTTTCGTCCTGTCGTAGCGGACGAAATTCTTGTTGCTGCTACCAGAAAACTCGGGGAACGAAACGATCGTAAATCGTTATAATATAGGTGAAGCGGGTCGTGTCGGTGAACAGCTGCAGAATATTCTGCCGCCGTGGAGCAGCAGTCCAAACACTTTTCAGCTTCGGAGAATGAAGCGCTTCCCTTTTCTGTTGACAAGCGCTGCGTTCGCGGGTGTAATGCATTTTCGAATCCGCTTGCAGTAGATCGTCAGGAGCCAGAGGTACTAGGTAGGTGTCGTTGTGGAAAGAATATAATTATTATGTTGTAGCTGACAAGTGACATACATGTAGTGTCTCTTGACGTGCTGATCGCCATTGTAACATGGTAGATCTTGGAAAATTTTAGTTCTGGACCCAGTGATCGCCGCCAGCTCAGCTCTGTTTCCGTCAAGTTTGCAGTGAATGCGTCCGTGAGGAATCCATCGTCTGGTTATCTCTAACCGTGACTCCAACCGCCTATCGTAATGGATAGCCGCCTGGAGTCTTGGGCGTAGCTGCTAGTGCTAGGCATCAAGTCTGTATGCTCCTTGCAATGAAAGTAACAGTTGCGATGTTTTGTACAAGTCCGAAGATCCTTGAATTTTTTTATTGCTTTTTCGGATGAATTGGGTGGACCATCCTGGACGAAAAGTGGTACGACCATGGTCGTAGTGGTCGTACCGTGTGTGACGCCCCTGGGATGAAATGTAATGTGGCCGAAAAGGATTGTGGCCCACGGAGGGTTCTAGCCAGGTCAATATAGTAGGGGGGGGGGGGGCGGGCATGGGAAAAAGTTACCCCGTGACTCATTTTTCCATTGTCCAAAATTGTCTTGCCATGCAAAATGTAACATACAGGGTGAACCCCGACTTCACCCCTCATAAATGTGCCTTTATGAACCCTCTAGTAGTGACTATCGGCTGTATTTTCATTGAATGGCGTGAAAAAAAACACAAAAATTGAAAAATGAGTAGGGGGCAGCACCTTTTCACAGGGGGGCGCGCAAACGGAGTAGGGGGCGCTGCCCCCCCCCCCCCCCCTACCCCCCTTTGGCTAGAACCCTGGGCCCACGGAAGCTGAATTATGAAATTAATTATAACAGGCGGAAATTTTGTAGAAAATGCAGAAAGTCCGCAAAATGTTCGGATTTGAGTTCGGAGACAAAAAGGAGTCAGAAAAAAATAAGGATTTTTCGGCTAACAGGCCACCTTTTAGCGCTCTACAGCCGCAAAGGAGGGTTCCCCTAGCACTTATTCGACAACCCCACTCCAGCTCCAAAAACATACTTCTCATGGATTTTTGGTATTTTCTGTACATCGTAGGTAGCCAAGCAAGGCAAATGGAACCCATTCAATGATTCAGGGCCATTGCCCTCGAAAAAATAGCAAAATTCGAAGTACAAGCGTGTTGCGCGGTCTAGCGCCAGCGGCTATGCAAAAACGTATGTCGTGTCCTGCAAAAGTCTGCCGCGTCGCGTACACTATGTACACGTCCGGCCTGGGCAGTCGCGAAGTAATTATTTTAGTTGTTTTCAGAGAGAGAAGAAGATCCTTTGTTGATCGGTGGGATTGAAAGATCTGCCAGTGGACCGGAGAGCTACAACAATGGAAGCAGAAGAAAGCGCTTGCGGAATCTTCTCTGTCTTCGTGGCAACAGGACTTTAGTTTGCGAGAGACTTTCGTCCTGTCGTAGCGGACGAAATTCTTGTTGCTGCTACCAGAAAACTCGGGGAACGAAACGATCGTAAATCGTTATAATATAGGTGAAGCGGGTCGTGTCGGTGAACAGCTGCAGAATATTCTGCCGCCGTGGAGCAGCAGTCCAAACACTTTTCAGCTTCGGAGAATGAAGCGCTTCCCTTTTCTGTTGACAAGCGCTGCGTTCGCGGGTGTAATGCATTTTCGAATCCGCTTGCAGTAGATCGTCAGGAGCCAGAGGTACTAGGTAGGTGTCGTTGTGGAAAGAATATAATTATTATGTTGTAGCTGACAAGTGACATACATGTAGTGTCTCTTGACGTGCTGATCGCCATTGTAACATGGTAGATCTTGGAAAATTTTAGTTCTGGACCCAGTGATCGCCGCCAGCTCAGCTCTGTTTCCGTCAAGTTTGCAGTGAATGCGTCCGTGAAGAATCCATCGTCTGGTTATCTCTAACCGTGACTCCAACCGCCTATCGTAATGGATAGCCGCCTGGAGTCTTGGGCGTAGCTGCTAGTGCTAGGCATCAAGTCTGTATGCTCCTTGCAATGAAAGTAACAGTTGCGATGTTTTGTACAAGTCCGAAGATCCTTGAATTTTTTTATTGCTTTTTCGGATGAATTGGGTGGACCATCCTGGACGAAAAGTGGTACGACCATGGTCGTAGTGGTCGTACCGTGTGTGACGCCCCTGGGATGAAATGTAATGTGGCCGAAAAGGATTGTGGCCCACGGAGGGTTCTAGCCAGGTCAATATAGTAGGGGGGGGGGGGGGGGCGGGCATGGGAAAAAGTTACCCCGTGACTCATTTTTCCATTGTCCAAAATTGTCTTGCCATGCAAAACGTAACATACAGGGTGAACCCCGACTTCACCCCTCATAAATGTGCCTTTATGAACCCTCTAGTAGTGACTATCGGCTGTATTTTCATTGAATGGCGTGAAAAAAAACACAAAAATTGAAAAATGAGTAGGGGGCAGCACCTTTTCACAGGGGGGCGCGCAAACGGAGTAGGGGGCGCTGCGCCCCCCTACCCCCCTTTGGCTAGAACCCTGGGCCCACGGAAGCTGAATTATGAAATTAATTATAACAGGCGGAAAATTTGTAGAAAATGCAGAAAGTCTGCAAAATGTTCGGATTTGAGTTCGGAGACAAAAGGGAGTCGCCCAATGGAAGTTACACGTTTGTTAAAGGCATCTTGTGACGAACTCCTTTTTGACCTAGCTCCAAGCTTTGACATAGCAGGGTTTTGTCACGACAACATGCCGTCCTGAATTACCGTGCACATACATGATTGTACTGTTCGCCTTGCAAACACCGACCCTCGATTGTGTCCTTGATCGCGAGTTGATTCTCTTCTTGTGGTTGAAAGCATGCAATCTATGCTACTCGCGAGTTCCCGTTATTCTAGACGCATTTATCTGCGAATTTGAATTAATTCAAATGAAAAAATTTCTAGACCGCTTCGTCTGCAAGCCATGGGATTGTGGACATCCCACGAAAACATTACAACTATCACTACTGAGCCAGAGAATGTCCAGTAAAACCTAGTGTAAGCGACCACCCCACGGTGCAAGCAAAAGCGGCCGTTAAAGCCAGGTGGTCTTTAGAACCAGGTCCCAGAATGTCTGTGCAGAACTGTCGGTGCATTGAAAAACGGTCCTTCAAAGAGCACTTGGTCGCTAAACACAGAGGTCGCTTATGTCGTCTCGGTCAGTCGGTAGAGCATGAGACTCTTAATCTCAGGGTCGTGGGTTCGAGCCCCATGTTGGGCGCCAAATGTCGTCTCTGGCTTGAAACCGTGAACGAACTGCCTCTTCGCTCCTCGCCACGCCACACAACAAAGGACCAGTACAAATTGTTAGAGAGCTTTTTCTTTGACTTGATTTCACAAGGCGACTGGAGAACTCATAATGAAGAACTAACTCTGACAACGAACGACGGACGACTGACACTGAGACAAGACAAGACAACAGAATAATTATATTATAGTGAAGGCGTACAACGGGGACAAGACGAGCAAGTGTGTACCAACAGGGACAGAAGACGGTGCAGCCGCATGTACGCAGGAGTCAAAAACAGCGCAGCAGCATGTACAACAAAGACCCACAAAAGCAGCCACATGTACGACAAAGAGCTACACGTGCAACCGCATGTACAACAAAGAGACACAAGCGCAGCCGCATGTACAACACTTACACCAGGTTGTACTGTACAAAGTAGTAGCAGCAGCAGCAAACATGACGACAGAAGTAACGCTAGAAGAATTTACCTTGCCTTCCCCGGTAGGATTCTGTCCGTTCCCAATAGTTGGGTGTGTCCGAGGCGTTTTTATAGCCCCCAAAGCCCTCCTCAAATGTTACTGCGTCACCACATCCTGAAGAACAGGAGACAATGGACAACAAGGTCAGTATCAATTTTACGTCTGATGATCGAGTCAGTCCGTGAAATTCAGAGTTACGAATAAAGAACTGCTCGTCCGTCTGTCTGTGTATTCCGCTCTTTGCTTTCGGCAAATTGAGCCCTCTACGGACTGTGGATGAACTTCACATGGAGATGATCTTTTATAATTATTTATTTATAGAGCAAGAGTGGTCAACATGATTCACACACATGTAGATAGATTTTGTTTATTTATTTATTTATTTCACCTTCCCGTGGCCAGAGAATATAGGCCAATATGGAGGGAGGGGGGGGGGGGGGGCGGCGGTAGTATTTTGTTATGATCAAGACATTTTGTCGTTCTAAACAACATCGTCAACGCATCAGGACTTGTTCTAACCCTGTGAAGGAATTGAACAGTCCTGAAACTGTGCACCTCCTGAATTTCTGACATATCTGGAAAATGGTCTAACTGCATAACTATTTTCTCTACGGTGTTAGGTTAACAGTTGAAGATCGAGCACTCACCTTCATTTGTGTTTCCGCTCGTCATGGAAACATGAGTTGCCAGCGCTATCACTAACAACACTAGCTGCATTGTGCTTTGTGTCATCTAATGCGGACAGGGAAAGGCATTTCCATTGACATACATAGTCACAAACATTCACACACGCACACCGACGCACACAGACAGACATACACACACACACACACACACACACCGACGCACACAGACAGACATACACACACACCGACGCACATGCACACATATCAACACACACACACACACACACACACACACACATACACACACACGCCCATCAATACACACACACACACACGCGCGCCCATATACATACACACATACAAGCCTACATGCATACAACAACATTGACGTCATAGTGCTCAATTTCCGACATACAGAGCTTGACTACAAATCAAACAAAATACTCAATCTGCGGGCAGAACTGTTTCGTCCTTTGGGATCTCATCAGCGCAGCACAGAGGAAATGAGGCCGAACAAAATACCAAACAAAATAATGTATATTTCAACTCAGAGTTTCATGCTCAGAGCAATCATCAGGACTATTTCAGCTTGTGCTTGTCCTGGTTGCGTGCACCTTCCCCTTCTATGTTTCGACTAGAACTTATAACCTTCCAACTCAGACTTCCAACTTGTAAGGCGGCTGCTGGCGTGCTCATCCATGGCGTGCTCTAGTAGAGCTAATTGGCAGCATTAGAACGTCACACCGTCGTCCAGTGTCGCGCAATGTTATCGCTTGAGCTGATTGTCAAGTAACTGGCGGTGTTAGAGGACATTATAGCGTGATTTGTAGTTCCTTGCTCCCTTACTTGGCATAACACTAATCCATGCCTCTCCATCCGAGTTTAATGCATAACACCATCAATTCCAAATAAGGAACAGGGAAAAGAGTCCACATACAAATGGGCTCCGTCGAAGAGCCATCAGAGAGATTGGGAAGCATTCCATATGAGCACCAACTGGCGCATTACATCCCTATACTCTGCTATACTACATGAATCAAGAGTCCACCGAACTTGTTTTGGGATCTCCATACTCCTCCTACTCTCGTGCGATTGGTACACTTCACTAGAGAAAACCTTCCCAAAAAGGACAAAATTAATGTTTCATGAAAGGCCAGATACACACTGAAGTACACCCATACCAAGACCAAGACGCCATAAATATGTTTTATGGACGATTTTTCGTTCGTACGTGAGATCTATCAAAGATGTACTATAGAGAATCGTGACTGTGCGACAGGACCATCGACTCTAGCCTCCTTTCGACAGTGACTCACCCAACATGATCTTCCCCCCGATGTGTGTGTGTGTGTGTGTATGTGTGTGTGCGCGTGCGTGTGTGTGTGCGTGTGTGTGTGTGAGGTGCATCTAAATTCCTAATCATGGTCGAAATAACAAAAAAGGTATGTTACAGCATCAATGCAAGCTTATTCCCTATTTCACGATTGCATGTATGGCGATGATCAAACACGAAAACCAGGGAGTCGTAAAATACCTTTTATTATATTTTTTATTTTACGACTCCCTGACGAAAACCAACCCATAACACTGTACTATCATTATGCAGGTAGACGATCCACACTGCAGACTACAAGGTTGCTACGTTTGAACTTTCCATAGGAGCTCTAGTTCTGAAAGACTGTCAATGGCCAAGTATTGAACTCTCCTAGGTAATGCAGTGGCACACAGTTGGGAACGGCGCGCAATATCAGCACATACATGTAGCTGGTTACGGAAACATAGCCAACATAACGAGAGAGCTTCGAAGCTCAGGGCCCTACGCTATGCTGTTTTGCCTTGATGACCTAGACAAAAAAAGCATAGAGATGTTATAAATTCTTATAAATTTCTCCTTTTTTTTAAGACATAACCTGGAATTCGAACCCGCACTATCGCCCTGCATGCATCCCCCGATACACTTCGCATACATACTAATTCTTCCAAGTTGCTTCACGTTATGATCTTGCATTTGAAAGCCCTATTTGAATATGCATTGTGGCCAGCTGTCTTTGATGGTACGGTACGGGACAGGTACGGTCGAGGATAATACGACACCGTCTATCGCCTTGATGACCTAGGCAAAAAAAGCATAAGGATGTTAAATTTTTTCAATTCTCCTATTTTTTTAAGGCATAACCTGGGATTCGAACCCGCACTATCGCCCTACATGCATTCCCCCATACACTTCGCATTCATACTCATTCTTCCGAGTTGCTTCACGTTATGATCTTGCGTTTGAAAGCCCTATTTGAATATTGCGGCCAGCTGTATGTGGCCAGCTGTGTTTGATGGTGCGGTACGGTACGGGACAGATACAGGATAGCACCAGGCGTGACACAAACACACAAACAAACAAACAAATACCAGATTAAAGCTGTGTGGACCCTGGCTAGCGCCAGACGTTACTGAAGTAACGTCTGGCGCTAGCCAGGGTCCACACAGCTTTAATTTGGCGTTTGTTTGTGTCACGCCTGGCGATATCCCGTATCTGTCCCGTACCGTACCATCAAAGACAGCTGCCCACAAACAGCTGACCACAACATTCAAATAGGGCTTTCAAACACAAGATCATAACGTGAAGCAACTTGGAAGTATGAGTATGAGTGCGAAGTGTATCGGGGAATGCATGTAGGGCGATAGTGCGGGTTCGAATCCCAGGTGATGCCTTGAAAAAATAGGAGAATTGATAAATTTATAACATCCTCATGCTTTTTTTGCCTAGCTCAATTATAGGTTTCATGTATATTCTGCTGGTTTGTCTCCTCCTTTGCCTTCTTTGCCTTTTATTTGTATTCTTTTATCTGTTTTACCGCTGTGGTTGGCTTTCACCCTTGTCTCAGTTTTTACTGGCCGACATCATGATGTGACAAGAGATAATGATCTAAATACATACAAAAAGGTCATCAAGGCGGTAGACGGTGTCGTATTACCCTCGCCCGTACCTGTCCCGTACCATCAAAGACGGCTGGCCACAATATTCAAATAGGGCTTTGAAATGCAAGATCATAACGTGAAGCAACTTGGAAGAATTAGTATGTATGCGAAGTGTATCGGGGGATGCATGCAGGGCGATAGTGCGGGTTCGAATCCCAGGTTATGTCTTGAAAAAACATCCCTATGCTTTTTTTTGTCTAGGTCATCAAGGCAAGAAAGCATAGCGTAGGGCCCTGAGCTTCCAAGCTCTCTCGTTATCATCATTTTTGAGAACTAGACCTGGTCCAGTGAGAAGGCATTCTACTGCCTGTAATTCTGGTGAAGTAAAATAAAGTAACAACAATATCTCCGCACTATCGTCTCTTGCCCGTGTCTCTTCATGTCACCCTTTTTTTCTTCTTCACTTTGTGTGTACGTTCACACCAGGTTCCTTTTCATGGGGCAGTTCTCCATTGTAGTGAAGGGCCATAATAATTATATCATAATGAGTTATAACTAAAGGTCCACCAAAGCAACCAGGTCACACTGCACATTCAGCGAGTGAGACCACAACTGACCATCAACCATCAACAACAACCGACAACAACCATCAACAACAGGCCCTTAGCAGCCCCATTTTGGTTGGTCCGGCAAGATCCGACCTCGATGCCCCCCCCCCCCAAGCCTACACTCCTAGTAGTGCTACCGTGACATATGCCGGTACATGGACAGGTACAACATGTACATGATTGTACGTGCATGTACATGCATGTAATCGTGACCATGCAGAGTGACATAGGGCGAGAAAAGGAAGAAGGATGTTCTGCATGAGTCAGGAAGAAGGGCATCAGCATGTTGTGTCCGTCCAAACAGAACTTGTTGAAGCCTATGAAGCATAGCAACAGTATCTGAACGCATGTGATAAAAGAACCAAAAATGGACCTTTGGTCCCTTGGAGGAGGAGAAAGGACATTGCAATGGAGGAATGGCAGGAGGTCATAAAGTACAGGACACCACCCACATAGATCTATGTTATAATGTACATGGTATTCGCAACAACATGTACATGACATGTACCACTAGAGTTCAAAGTATATCCTCTTGCTATTACCATGTACTGCCTCTACTTACTTGTATACCTCACTACGGCTCTACTTATTGCACATATCATGGGTGGACATCCTGAGCTGCTTACATGTGTGAGCTCCTGCTTTTTTTTTGCTTTTTTTTTTTTTTTTTTTTTTTTTTTGGCCGAACAATGGTCCGGCAGCTACCGGACCTGCCGGACCGCCTGCTACGGCCCTGATACAACCATCTGAGTTCAAATTCACCATTTACTATGCCAATTGTTTCACTCCAAGTCAAAGCAACAAATACACTGCTACGCACGACCTCATTGAGCCTATTCTAGGGATTGAGTTCATTTTTGCCTCCCGGGTGCAATGCTTGAGTGCTTTTCTTTCTCTGCATCATCATTAAAAAAATTATGCAGTCAATAAAACACGCTTCCTAACAAACAAACCGTGCTATCTGGTCCAAAGGAAAGTACAAGTCAACATTTACCTGAGCCATGTCGCATGCGGTCGCAGCAGAAGTTCCCACCAAGCACTGGCCTAGGCAGACGGATCGATTTCAAAAGCAAAGTCAACGCGTTGATTTCGTCAGTTTTTAGACAAACATCCGGGACCAGAACGATAACAGTCAGATTGCGATGGTGCTTATTCTGCCCGGCTCCAACAACGAGCTCAAAAGATTAGTTCAAAAGGATCTTCAAGGTATAATTCAACAAGTAGGGTCTGGTCTTCACGATACACACAAAAGGGTAACAAGCTTCGTCTTCAACAAGTCTCAGTATGAAATTGCCCGGCTTGGTAGAAGCAATGAGCAAAGCAGCACATATCCTGACACGATCACTGATGGCCTCGAACCCTTTTGTGCAATCAATTGGTGTAGGGTACCGAGTCCTAAGAGTACCACCTTATGAGGGCACTAGCGGTCATAACAATAAGGAATTGCTACGCACATCATAGTACGACGGGCAGGCGTGTATATATGTGTTGCATGCGATCTTAAAGGGGCACTCCGGGAATTTTTTCGGTGGTGTGTTCTCTTCATGGGGGCCTTATATGGCCCCCAAGGAATGGGGAATCGCGAAAACTAGACCCAAAAAGTCGATACCGTATTATCTCTAATATAAGCACGATCCTTTATTTTTTCGATGTACCTCCGCCCCGTGCTATTATTGGAGACGTTCCTTTATTGGAGACTGTTCCATTATTATTTCAACCTCATTTCAGAGGTTTGTTGCCACGCCAAATTCATGTCAGACACACACACATTTTCGGTTTTTTCGCCGGTACAGATAATGAATTTTTACACAGTGTGCTTATAATGGAGACTGAGCACTTTATTTTTTTAATGTCGCCCCAAGGTGTTCTATTATTAATAATAATAATAATAATAATAGCACATTTCGCGTAGTAGAGCACTAAATAAAGAAATTCAGTGTTTTTTCCGCTTCTGTCTTGTGAGCATCATCAGCTAGGTGTAGTAGCTGCTGATACCGATTTCTCGCCGGGTGTCGAGCTGCACAGTTTCCTCCAGTCTGTCTTGTCTGCTGCTTGTTGTCGGCACCTGGAAAGGTCTTCCATGGTCTTCATTGGCACACCCAGCTTATTCAGCTGAGCAACCAGACTTGTGGCCAGTGTCAACCTTGGCCGTCCACGAGGTGCTTTGTTGCCCTTGTCAAAATAGCCGCCGCGTTCTATTATTGGAGGCGTGCTATTATTGGAGACTGTGCTTATATTAGAGATAATACGGTACATGTATATGAAGCCAGGGAGCCGGAGCCTTGGAGGAGGGCCAAGTAAGTTTGTCTCCTCTTTTGATGGTTTTGATGACGTCACGTGTGATTAGAAATTAATTCTCTGCATTTGAAGATCTTAGTTGTTTGAATTTTCTGGTGATGAACTGGAACGATGTTTGGTCGACATTCCCAAGCTTCACAACTGCGGACATACTCTAAGGAACCTGAAGGACCTCCTGAGGTGCCCCTGGCCTGGTAGAAGCGCAGCCTGATGAGGGCCAGGAAATTGGAGCGGACGACTTCACTGGTCGACAAGAAAATTAATAACGATTGGTGTTCCTGCCAGAAATGTGGGGTGATGCAGAGGGCAGTCGATTACCTTCGCTGTCGAGAGAGCGCTGCAGCTGTTAGCATTGACAGCCCTTTGACATGAGTTACACATCACCCCGACTTCGCGTCAGCTTGTCTGAACAAAACTGTTCTGACCATATGCCTCACGGCGTATAGAGAATTTCGGGATCCTCGTACTCGGACCAGTGAAGTCGTCCGCTCCAATCTCCTGGCCCTCATCAGGCTGCGCTTCTACCAGGGGCACCTCAGGGGGTCCTTCAGGTTCCTTAGAGTATGTCCGCAGTTGTGAAGCTTGGGAATGTCGACCAAACATCGTTCCAGTTCATCACCAGAAAATTCAAACAACTAAGATCTTCAAATGCAGAGAATTTGAATACTGATCACATGTGACGTCATCAAAACCATCAAAAGAGGAGATCGAGACAAACTATAGTTTACTTGGCCCTCCCTGGCTTCATAATTATATCGACTTTTTGGGTCTAGTTTTCGCGATTCCCCATTCCTTAAGATCCTTGGGGGCCATATAAGGCCCCCATGAAGAGAACACACCATCGAAAAAATTCCCGGAGCGCCCCTTTAAGTACTTGCAGAAAACGCCAAATTTGGACGATGTGCATATGTGCGGGATACCGGGATGTGCTGGTGTGAGTATAATTATATGCATGAAAGGGAAATGGCGGCTTGGCCAAGTGATGTTATTTATTATAATTATTATTATTATCAAATTTTTGATAGGGCAATCCCCACAGGCCTAAGGCCTTCTTGAGTTCGAAACATGAAACGTCCATGATCCAGCAGGAGTTTCAGCTTTTGTCTCAATGTACATGTATAAACAAGATAATCATCTTGGTATAAAGTGTATACAATCATGCGTCAACAGTTCCACAGTTCTGCAGTTTGCGGATGATGTTAATATGTATGCAGCTGGTGACTCTGCTGAGGAAGTCATCGGAGCTTTGAACGGAGATCTGGCCAAGCTGTCTGTCTACCTGGAAGAGAAGCGCATGACGCTGAACCCAGCAAAGACGAAGTTCCTCCTCCTTCACAGAAAGACAACAGCAGTGCCTGGTTCCGCCAGTGTCGTCATTGACGGCGTCCATGTTCTTCGAGCGCAGTCCGCGCGCTATCTTGGCATTGTCATTGACGAGCACCTGACTTTTGGGCCACAAATTGACGGTTTGATTGGGTCTGTCAACAGGAAACTCGGCGCCTACCGCATGTCAAGACATCTCTTGCCATTCCACGCACGGCGTAGCTTTTACCTTAGTGTTATTCAGTCGTCATTGGAGTATGCAAGTAGCGCATACGTCCACACCCTCAATTCTTACTATTTCGATAAGTATGTCCGGCTATTTAACAGGTGTCTAAGAATAGTTTTTGGTTTCGATAACTTTACCAGTGCCTCTCATATTCTTAGCCTATACAATCTCTCTCACATTTCTGTCCGATTCAATTTGAAGCTTTTTATTCTTGTATTTCGCTCTGTCCATAGCGGCACATGTAGCTCCCTCCTAAAAGAAATTTTCCATACCCGCTCCTCCAGTGCACATACTACTGCCGTCACTAGGTCCCAGAATCTCTTTTTCTCTGGCCTTGCCTTCTGCCCACACTAGAGCTGGTTTTTCTCGTCTTGGCTACATAGGTTCTGATCGGTGGAATATGCTGCCTTCCACTGTTCGCTCTTGTACAGATTATCGCCCATTTGTTCGTTCATGCTTAACCTTTCTAGGGGCTCCCGTAAGAAGACCATAGGTCTGTGGGAAACACCCTAGTAAAATAAATAAAATAATAATAATAATAATAATAATAAAAGCAAGAAAAGTCAGGAATATCTCAAATTTCTAGCATGCTCTCGGTACATCAAGCCACAACACCTCAATACCGCGTATATTCTTCCTTCTTCTCCTGAAGAACAATACGTGTACCTGTCGTTGCTATTGCCGCGAAAATGGCCAGTGCCACTCGCTAGATGTAGTAGACAATTGGTCATATTGTAGAAGTGGTCGGATGCATTCCCTTAGGACCCTTACTCATGACTCATGGAAACGTGTCTGACTGGATGGCAGTCTTTCTCCACCTTCTAGCATGTGAACCTTTTAGCAACAGAAACACTACAACTACACGCCGGTTCGCGCAAAGCACTCCTGAAAGCTGGAGCCGCCCTGCAACTGTGCACTCTATCCTTCCCCTTTAATACTATAAATGTAGGCGATTTACGATGGTTCACATTGACCGGTTCATATCATACAAACTCCTCAGGACTACTACGATTTGACCTTTCGATACCCATCATACGAGAGTGTTATTGGTTAAAACTATCATTACTCCCGGCGATGTTTAAAGGCAATAATATAGCACTCCCTAAATACGGAGCAAGAGGTAGCCCTTTCCCAAAGGTGCTCTTTTAATTCGCGCTTAGTGCTTTTCGCGTCCCTCAAAATATGCTGAAAATGTGCTCTTTTTTCAGTGAAGCATAGCCATGATACATGTAGAGGATATAACCCGAGTCAGAGGGTTATACCGGCTGAATATAAAGCCCGACTGCGATAGCAGGAGGGATTTATATGAGGGTACGGTATAACCCGACTACGAGGGTCATATCCTACTTATGCCAGGTACCCCTACGCATTTCCAGAACAACGAACCTATTTGGAGATCTCCTACATCATGCAGTACATGAACATCTTCTGATGGTTATCAGTTGTCAATTGAAAGAATGGTCGAGCAAGGTCAGAAGGAGATTCCTCCGTGGATGTTTGGCATAAGATTTCCTTTCAGTTCCAGTGCATATTGTAGCATCTTCATGATCTTGTCTTGAGTCGTGAGCGGTGCGGAAGTCGACTGAATTGCTGCGGTGCTGGAGTAGTTCGTTGAATCAAACTACCGTCACTAGTTAGATTACAGCTTGGACTCTTTGGTAGTAAGTGTTACTATAATTATGGTACAGTGCTGATTTTCACATGCGGCATCTCATAATCAGTTTTGCTTGCAAGTAGATGCATTTGCATACACTGTTTTGTATCACATTTCAATCCAATCTATTGTAGCCTTTTCCAATCGGGTTGAAGTGCATGTACACTGGTATTATAAACTTATTTACGAAGGAGACAGTCCGTTGATGATCTTCAACTCTTCGAAGTACAATGTACATTGCTGACCCATTCGGGATACTTCGTGGTTATTCGACGTTCTTTATCCTCAGATTCAGTATAACAGAATACTCTGTAGACGAATTCCAGGTCATTCTTCTTTTCCATTGTGTACTGTTCCTCGTCAGTGTGCCGTTCTGTGTGGAGTGTACACGCGCATGTGGTGTCCGTTGTGTCTGTTTATGTATGGTCCGTGCGCTGGAGTACTGCCGCCGTACAAGTTCACTGCCTTTCAGGCAGTGAACTAATACGGTGGCAGTGCCCTAGCGTACGTACCGTGCACCGGGATTTATATTCTATATAAATCCCGCGCGGGATTTATACTGGCCAATATAACCATGGCTAGACGAGCGCTGATTGGCTGAAAACAGGCCCTCCGTTCCGTACCATGGTATAAGTTCAGATATGAACCCAAGCTGAGAAATGAATACGCACTCTTCCATTTATGGGTCCACAAAAGGCAAAACAGGAAGTAAAGTTCAAA